GCTCCCTGGCTGGAGCTGAGTCAGGCTCACAGTGCGTTGCCAGAGCTCCACGTGGAGCACCAACTACTGACACCTCCACAGTGGCCTCCTCTGGAGGACTGGCCCAGATGGCTAAACCGACTCAGGTGACTCGAGTGTTCCTCTGCCTGGACTCTGCGTCCTGTCCGCTCAGGACTGCATCCCTATCAAGTGACAGCTCGACTGTCACCTCCCTCCTGTCCACCCACTCACGTGGCCTCCATCCCCAGCCACACTATATCCCTGCATGTTCTTTCCCATCTGTCTCAGAACGAGAAATGCTCTCCCCAGGCTGAAACGGAAGCATCATGCCCCCTGCAGCCCCGGTGCTCACGTCATGGATACTCAGTATTTGGTGGAAATGAAGGCAGGAAGGAAAACCTGAGCTGATAAGGCCTTGAGCGCATCGTTTAAGAGGGACAGGGCAGACTACACTCCTGGTCCCGAATATTTTCTCTCTTGAGTTACACAGTGAAGAGGAAAAGATCAGTCTTTGAAACCAGATTTGCATCCAAATCCCCAGTTCTCTCACCACTGGCAGGATAATTTTGGCCTTGATAATTTAACCAACTAGAGAATCAGTTTTCTAACCTACAAACTGGCGGGGGGTGGAGGTGGGACTGATCAATCAGATTCAGTGCCGGGCCCAGGACTGGATCAAAGGGTGGTGATATTTCCCAGACCGCCACCACCCTCGAGCCACTCTATGCAAAGCCTGGACCCCAAAGAGGACCCCTGCCCCCAATCCCTCTTTCCCTTGGCTTCAAGTGCGGCGCGCTGGTCCTGAGAGCACCCAGGCAAGCAGCGGCGCACTCGGATCCTTCCTGAGCTGGCGCCCGGCCTCAGCCGCGCAGCACACAGCTTCCCGCGCCCTCCTGCCAGTCCTCTGTCGGCGGCTCCAGCACTCGCGGGGTCACTAGTCCCAACCCGACCATCTGTTCGCAAACAGTTCGGAGTCCCGGACCGCACTTCTAGGGGGATCTCTTTGGCACCATGGCCTCTCGTCCCAATAAAGCATTCTCGCGAGGCATTCGCCGCCACGAGTAGTTGCGGGGATCACCGCGCTGCCGCGTTCCCCTCCGCCAAGCGCTGCGACCGACCCTTAGGCATTCAGTCGGGCAGGAACGCAAGAGGCGCGTGAGCAACGCGCACCACGTGACCGAGCTTGTCTGCCCGCGCAGTCGGCTAGGCGCGCCGAGGTCGGGCGGGCCGAGGGCCAATTTCCCATGGTTCCCCTCATTTGCATATACAATGCAATAGGGCTATGGAGACTATTAAACTCGGTCATAATGAAACGATATGATGAAACTATGTGTGGTACGAAAGGACATAACTTATTATGTACTCTGAAGCCTAAAGAAGGGTCAAAGTTTAGTCACCCTAACCAGAAAACTTTTTCTGTTCTTAGCTTTATATACTTCCTGAGAAGAGCCGTATGTCGTGCTCGCTTCGGCAGCACATATACTAAAATTGGAACGATACAGAGAAGATTAGCATGGCCCCTGCGCAAGGATGACACGCAAATTCGTGAAGCGTTCCATATTTTCGTCCACGAGTGTACCGTCTGCACAGCTCGCACCTTGATGCGAACGCTTTTCCCCGAGTTTCTGCTTTTTGTTTGACATAAAAGAAGCTATAGTCCCTGGAGATGAAGTAAAATAAGTGTGGGCAATCAGATCGGTCACTTGCTGTGCTTTTCACACCTGGCCCTTGGGCCCCAGTCTTCAACCTTGCGAATCTTGCCTCCGCTTCCCTCTGCATTATCCTGAGTTCTACTGTACCTTACCCTTAAGGAAATGGCCTTGCCAAAGTTGGTCCGTTTCAGGACCAAAGCATAACAGGACCTTGGTGCCACCATAAACTTAAACTGTACTATACCAGAAACTTGGAACAAGACTGATTCATGCTACCTCTGAATCTTAAAATAATAACAACAACAATACTCACTCTTATTGAGCATCTCCTATGTGCCAAGTCCTTCACCGATATCTCGTTTTAATATTCCTGACAGTCCTGTCTCGTGGGTATTACTGCCACTATTTCATAGGAGATGCTGAGGTAAAGCCACCTGGGCATGATCATGTTAATTAGTAAGTAGCTGAAACAAAGCTGCGCAAATCCTGAGAAGCCCTGCCCCCAGGTAATTCAATGGCAAAAGGCAGTCCTAATTAATAAGAATGAGAAGGGGAAAAAATGCCAACAAACTTCAGATTTATCAATTTCTTTCCAGGAGAAAAATGTGGGTGCATACGCCTTGCTGGTGCCTCAGCACGCGTGTAGTCCGCCTGGCGGTCTCTGCAGCCGCTGCGAGCCAGGCTGGCTTGCCTCCCGCGGCCCCGCGGCTCCCAGGCTCTGCGCTCGCCTCAGTCAAGGCACAGGATGGTCACCGGGCCTCAGAGCCGCCGCAATCGGCGGCGGGTGCTCAGAGCTGCAGAGCAGTGTACTATCCAGGATCCATTTCTGTTCTCTTCAGTGGAGGCAAAATGATCCTTTCCAGGAAACAGCTGAGAATAGGCATTCGTGGGACCTCACGGCCTCCAATGCATGGAGTTAGAGGACAATCTTTGGTTTTCGTTTCTTCCCCCTAAGATACTTGCTTCCTTGGAGGCCACTTGGGTCCCTGGGTGAGTAGTTTAAAGGCCCCTTTCTGGAATATCTAACAAGAAAATGACCACTATTGGTTTGGCTCTCTCTCTTTCTAGAGAAACTGGTCATTCTTTGTCCTTCTTTGTGGCATAACCCTGTTTCAGATTAAAAATTAGGAAAGACAGGAGCAATTCCTAGTGCTATAAAAGCCAAAGGCCTAGCTGACTTCTGCGGCTCTGCAGTTCTATGAAGTAGGTATTCTTTCCCCCATCGTGTTAAAGATGAGGAAGCTGAGGAACAGAGATATTCAACAGCTTGCCCTACAAATGTCACACAACCAGTCAGTGGCAGAGAAGGGACCGAAACCCAGGAAATCTGGCTGTCCAGTTTGTGCTCTTAAGCAAACACTATGTTTCCCTCTGGGAGTGTACAGAGGGAGAAAACGTTGTTTAGAATTAATGCAAAGAGTGTGCAGGTCCACTTCTGCCTTTTTTGGTGTTCTGAATTCAAGGACAGGAGTCACATTTTTTTGCAAAGGATCAAGGCTCAACTTTAGATCAGGGTAGCTGGGAATGGGTGGACAGGTATGTGCCCAGTAACTTTGCAAAATTACAGGGAGTGAAGGAGCACCCTCTTTGGGATGCAATTGCAAGAGGAAAAAACTTTCCTGTTCTAGGTTGACCATCCCTTACCTGACCCTTGCCCCCTCCCCCCAAACTAATCCTATCGACAAAAGATCTGAGCAGTAAGCCTGTTTAATTAGCTATGCAAACGAGCTTAGCTGCTTCCCAGTAGCTGTGGTCCAGAAAGTCCTAAGGATTCCTTCCCTCAGACATTTCCAGCATCCAGATGAACCCCAAAGTTGACCCCATTCATCTGGGCATCTGTTGAGTACCTGTGATGCGTTGGGCCCTGTTGTAGATCACAAAGAAGGGCAAGATGTGGCTGTGATGGCCAGGGTATTTACAGTTCTATGGGAAACACACACACACAACAAGGATAACTCAGGGAGGCAAGCACCCCATTAGCTTCCTTAACCAAGTGCCACAGGAACACACAGGTTACTCTCGGGAATCCAGAAATCTTCCAGGTGTGTTTTGCTGAGGGGTTACCTCAAATTTAAGAGGAAATGAAGGTGGGGGGGCTACCTACTGGTTTCTCCGAGGGGAGTGAAAAACCAAGTAGCTTGATGCTGTCTCCACCTGCTCCTCCAGCTTCCCTCAGTTTATCACCCTGGATTTGCTGGGACAGATGAATACAGACACTACTTGTCTGGAGGCGCATCCCTAGAGCCTTCCTCGGCTGAAAAAGGAGTGGGAGATCCAAGAGGCATGTTTGCCTGGTTCCCCACCCCCAAACCTCAGACTCTAAAGCCCGACCTTCTTGGGTACTGCAGGAGGCCGAGGTGAGGAACAAACAGTACGAAAGCTCCCCATTCCCCAAGCCCCACTTTTTCTCCCTAAGACAAGGCTCCCTAGTCTGGGGCCTCCGGACGCTTGCTGTAATGCCTAAAGTGTGTCGCAAGGTGGCAACGTTGTGGCGAGAAAAAGACATTAAAAATCGGGATTTTTTTTTTTTCAAAGCATATTTTCCCTATTAATGTTTCATTTAACTTAATTAGAATCTGGTAAACTAATTAAAGTAGCTACGAGCCCCGCAATCAGCAATAATTCGTATAATTATTGATAATTACATCCATACCAATCGCTTGGTTATTAACACGTGGGGGGAACAAACCACTTCTGAAGGGAATCGGAGCCCAGGAGGGTTTTTGTGAGCTCTTTCTAGGTCGCATCCGCCTACACCTCCAATCCACAGAGAATCCGGTCCAGATGCTGCGCCCTTTCCGGCTGGCCCCAACTGCCTGCGGCGCTTTCCCCCAATTTGGGAAATTCGAAAACGAAAGGTGGAATATTTACCAGGTTCCTCTGTGTGGGGCACAGCCAAAGAATAACTTCCTACGTAGGTAGTAAGTGTTGACCCCATTTCACAGAGAAGGAAAGTGCTGTTTCCTAAGAAGCTGTTCCGTCCAGAGGGAAAGGCGCGTCCTAACTCCGCTCGTCCCTAGAACGCGCTAGGGACCCACGTCTCTTCCTCTCTTGGACCTCGGTTTCTGACCCGGTTGGTTCCACGCATAAAAACGTTCCCGCTCCCTGGAGGGTCCCTATGGGGGAGATCGCGCGTCTCGAGGCAAGCTCATCCCTTAGCGACACCTCATAATTTACCCAGCCATTCTCTCAGTTCCCTCTGGGTCTAGCCCTCGAATGTCCTGGGACGGGAGGGCTCCGAGCCGCAGCACCGGGTGTTCCAGGGCCTGGCTTCCTGCCAAGATCGCGCGGCGGATCTCCCCTCCTGGGCCCCTTCTCCGAGGCCGTCTGCACGCCCTTGCTCGCCAGCTCCGCCCCGGGCCCTTTGGACGACCAGCCAAGAAACTTCCCCACCAACGCAGCCGAAGGCTCCCGGGTCCCAGCTGCTGGCTCGGTGGGAGCACAGGACGCCCGCCTCCAGGGTCTTCACCCTGGGCGTCCAAGGCCGCCCAGGGACGCGCAGTGAGAGTCCTGCCGTGTCTGAGAGCAGGTCGTCGGGGCGCGCGGGTCCCGGCCGCGCAGCGCGGCTCTGCGCTCGCTTCCTCGCAGAGCGCGTTCACGCGCCGCCAGGGGCGGAGGCCTAAATAATATTTTAGAAAGAATGAGGGGCAAGACTCGGCACCACTGCTAGTCAAGTAAGGAGCGGAAATTGGAAATCAGGTCAGAATGATTCCCAGAACCGTGTATTTTCCCACTCGAACCACACTCTCCTCCCTCTTCAAAAATCGCGCTGCCGTTTCCATCTTTTATCCGTGCCCAAGCAGCGTGTGTGCTGTGGAAACTGAGGCCGAAGGGAGGCCGGTGGTTAGGTAAGGCCTCGAAAACTGCGGCCGTCCCCCGGAACTCTAGCGGCCGCCGTATCTCACCTTCCTCCGTGGGCTCCTCGACGTCTGCAAACCCGCTGGGACTAAAATGTCCGGAACGTCCCAAACCGCCAGGACTCCCCGCCTCCCGCTAGTGGCGAGGCAGGCGGACATCTGTACAGGCCTGCGAGGCCCAGGCCCGCCTCAGAGCTCTAGGCCCGGGCCGACCGCGCCCGGGCCTCCTGGCAGTTCTAGTTGAACCAGGGGTTCCCGGCAGGGCGCGAACTCCGTCTCTGAGCGCCCCGGAGGAGGCTTCTGCGGTGGAGCAGGCATGGACCTGGGCAGGAGTCAATTCTCAGCCCCTGCGAACGCTAGAGGGAAGACTCAGAGACCTAACAGGAGTTCTCATTCCTCGCCGAGGCCCAGTGGAGGGTCCTAAATACGGGGCGGGGACGGCCTGTGGCCTATGGGGCAAGCTGGGTGTGCCCGAAGAACCAGTGGAGAGGTCGCGGTGCTCGCCGCAGCCCACCTGGTCAAACACAGGTCTCAGCGCGGGCGCCTCAGTACCCGCGCTGCGGTCCCCATGCCCCACCTGTTGCTCCCGCCTCCTCCCCGTCCCTCCCCTCGCCACACTCCCACCTCCACAGCCCCAGGAAGTGTCGGGTGTTTTTTTTTTTTTTTCCTTTTTATTAAAAACAAAACAAAACTCAGGGATCCAGGGTGATCTCCCCAATCAGGCTCAAGGTGGTCTCCATCTCGTGAGTCAGTTGTCGCCCTTTTTAAAGTGCTGTTACATCAAGAGGTTACAACAACAACAAAAAATAGACAAAGCAAAAACCCAAGAGGGAATGCAAGATGGGACTGGAAGTAGGTCCAGAAGAAGGAAGAAAAATAAATTACAACATAAATAAATAAAAAATGAACCCATTATTACTGAACCAAGAGACTCACAATACATTTATATCCATTGCACATAGCCACTTTGTCATTAGGAACAAGAGTTTCAGAAGTGGACGGGGAGGGGAGCTTGGGGCCAGCGAAATTGCTACATTGTATTCACAATTGGGGTTCAGAGGCTGTACAAGGCGGAGAAGCCCCCCTCTCCCTTTTTTTACCCCCTTTGGTCCGTTAAGCCCATGAGACCCGATGCCCAGAGTTGAACCATGAGGCAAGGTGGTATTTACAATTGGAAACAGACTGGGTCCTGGTTTCGGGCTCCCAGGAGGGAGCGGGCAAGGCCGAGGCGCCCGGGAGAAGGGCAGGCGGGCGGGAGGCTGTATTTACATCGGTCCGGTCCGAATGGCTTGTATCTCGCTCTCGGCCGCCGCGGCCGCGGGCATTTACAAGAAGAGAGCAGCATGGCTTGAGGGCGCGTGGGCGCGGCTGGGCCGGCCCTAGGGCAACAGAGGGGGCTTGAAGGAGCAGTTGCCAGTGCAGTGCCGGGGCGTCAGCATCTTGCAGGAGAAATGGTGCAGGGCGTCGTGGGCTTCTGGAGAGACAGTCGATTGGGCCATGTTGGGCTCCTCGCCTGTCTCGCCCACGCGGTCCATGGGCTCCCTCGCTCCCCGGTCCTCCCACGTCTAATCCACCCCCTTCAGATTCAGGAGTTCTCAAGCGAGAAGATCAAAAGGTGGGAAGGTAGTAGAGACCCCGGTCATTCAGAACCACTGCTCTAGTTCAGTAGCCCCATTTTACAGAAGAGTAAACTGAGGCACAGTAAGAGGGAGATCGCTCAGCTCAAAACCAGATTTGGACCTGGTGACAGATTTCTCAATGCCCAGAGCTCAAGGGGCTCTTTCTCCCTGCCCACCGCTCTAGAATGATTTCTCCATTAAAACGAATTCCCATTTCCCTCCTCTCAGTTACTTATCTCTGCAGACTGGCTGGCCTTCCCCCTCATCATCACTCACACATTCATTCATTCATTCATTCATTCGCCCTCACAGCCAGTGCCTGGCACCTCTCCTTTGTTCCCCCGCTTCCGCACCTTTTAATTTCTGCTGGATGGCATAGCGTGCCTTCCGCTCCTGGTCAAGTTCGTTACAAAGAGTATCTGGAAGACAAAGGAAGTAGCCGGTGAGGAAATGAGACCACCCTAGGGCCCGTTGGGGTCACAGCCCGGGCCTCACCCTCTTTTCAGCGCTCAGCCCCTGGCAGAAACAAGTCCCGGCGACCGAGGGAGGGGGCGTCAAAGCTACAAACTGCAGCTTGGCTGAGGGAGGAAATGGCCTGGGATGGCGCTTAAAGGCAGACGGATCTAACCAAAATTAAAGCAAACTTAGGCATTACTTCCCAGGTAATTTTACGCCTCGATTTTTAATTTAGAAACCATGGAAATTGCCGCGATAAGAAGTTCAATCACTCCATGTAATGATGCCTGCAAGCCGTTTGCTGGGCTCGCTTGCCATTCTGAGGCTAATCAGAGTATACAAAGGATATTAAATAAAAAAAATAATTGTTAAATTACCTTCAATTTAAATCCAAATGACTGAGCCAACATTGCGGCTCCTGCCAGACGAGAGGCAGTTACGGCCCGTGCACGCGCTCACCTGACTCCCGTCTTACCTCTGACAATTTGCAGCTGTTGCACCATTTCTTCTCGATAAGCCAATTCCCTCTTCATTTGATCCTGAAAATTATCTGTGCAAATTGATTAAGTGAGAGCTGTTACGCACAACCCCCTCCCTCGGCCCCCTTTCCCCACTCCCCAGCCCCACCCCACCCCCTCTGTCTTTGGCCTAGCGGGAAACCCGGCTAGGAAAAGAAGGGTTCGGTGGCTCTGGCTGAATGTGAAGCAGCAGCTGCTGCCTGCACTGGGTCCCCGGTCCAGGCCAGGCGGGGCATGCGGGAAGAAGGCCCTGGCGATCAGGTGGGGTGGGTCTGAATGGGGGTACCTTTGAGACTCTGAAATTCTCGCTCCAGCTTCTTGCGGAGCTCCATTTGTTCCAGGAGCAGTTTTTGCAATTCGTCTGTGAAGGGGGAATAATGGGATGTAAAGGAGGAGGGTAGTGGGACTCAGGTGGCCTCTAAAGGCACCCAGGTCCCACTCTGGCCAGTAGCCATGAGATAGGAGTAGTGGAGGGTGAGAGCAAATGGTAGGCCCTCAACACTCAGGTTTTCCATGTGCATCCAAAGGATCTGGGCAGAAAATGGGGTTAGGGGTTTAGGTTGCCCAGGAGAATGAAATTCAGAATAGCAGAATGCTTGTTGGACTTCTAGGTCCTGGGCCCAGGTACTAACCAGCATGGTATCTGCTTTAAGTTGTTCTTAACTCCATAAATTTAGAGGTAGGCCTAGGAAGACTCAGTTTACCCCTTCAATCCATGGACCTAACCTCTCCCTTCAATGATACAGACAAAGAAGAATCTGGTCAAAGCCTTGGACTGCCACCCTAGAAAAATACACATATTCATAACAGTTTATTTACAATTTTAAGAGGTCCCAGGACCCCAAATCCAGGACCCCAAATATAAGAACATTCATATAAAGCAGAAGGATTTTGAACGTAATTAACATCACCCGTAAAATCTGTAACTGGGAACAGTGGAAGACAACCAATGCTTCCCCCCTCCCCCAACACACACCAGTTTCCAAGCCCAGCCCTGGGCTGGGGTGGGGTAAAGAGGCAATTGGGTGTGGAAAGCCCCTTGGTGCTCCCAAAAGTTGCTTTAGAGGAGTGGCAGGGGGCTGCCCATGGAGCTATTGGTATCTGGTCCTCCCCTCGCAGGTGCTCAGAAAACACAAAAATGAGAGACAGAGGAGCAAAGTGGGGTTAGAAGTTCTTTCTCTGCTTCAAGCCATACTCTGCCCCTGCAGTTGAGCAGGGACCCCATTCCACAAACAAGGTCCATCCTCACCCCATTTAGGGCGAGGTGGAGTCAGTTATGCATTGATTCCAGGAAAAGAAAATAACCTCTGAGACACTCCTGGAGTAAATGCATCCTCAAAATCTTGCTATTCAGATGAGGCTGAGAGACCTAGATTGTCCTTCTAAGGATCATTACTCATTTTTCTTTCTCACTGGACTGTTCACAGGCCTGGCCTTGGGACCTCTGGGGGTGGCTGGTTCCCTCCGCCTACTCCCTTCACCCTTCCACCCTCCCACCCCCCACCTCTGTGCCCGGGGAATGTGTCCAGGGGATTATCTTTTCTGGTCAGTGAAGACTGGTTCCTCAAGAGCCTTGTCTTCTCACACGCACTCCTGCAGGAACACCACCCCTCTATAAGAAGGGACGATTTCCCCAAGCACAGTGTACCCCTGTTTCAGAGATTTAACCTCACCTCTGGCCAGGTTCTCGATATCTTTCTCCACTAGTTGAGTTCCTGTGACATCTAGGGTGAGCCCATCTTCGCCTGGGATACAAGGGCAGGTAAGAGGGGTTTTGTTCTGGGAGAGGCCTTGGGAGGGGAGGGGTGAGCTTCCTGGTAACTGAGCTAAGTTGAGTACCTATTTCAGACCCTCTGCCTTTAGAGGAGACAGTTGCAGGCATCCAGTTCTACCCACCTTCCAAGCCATCATTTTAGGTCACTCAGAGAGTGACACCCCCCCCCTGCCACGGAGGAGAGTGGAACCAGGGATAATAGGCTATCTTAGGGCAGGAAATGCTCTTTGACTTGTTTTACGTGGGTGATGGTGTTCCTGATATCCTTCTAGTAAGTTTCCTTCCCTTACCCGGGAGAACCCCAAACCCACCAAGGAGGCAAGGAATTCAGGAAACCTGGCCTGACCCTTGCCCATTCTGTTTAAATGTTTATCTGCCAGCCGCGAGAGGAGAGCAAATGTTTATCCGGCAGCCCCTTAGGCTTGTTAGAAAGCCTCCCTCGCAAACTGGAGTCGGTGGAAACCTGGGCGACCTGGGGTCCAGCTCCCGAGTTGGGGTGGAGAGCGAGGGTCCTAGGGCTCACCTCGGTCTGTATTTGCCGGACTTGGCTGGGAGATACTCCTTTGGTCTGGATAGCATTTCCTCGTTTCCAAATCGTCGGCGGTCGAGTGATTGTCTTCCTTATCTGGCTCTTAAAGGCAATAAACCGAGTTTCAAGGAGAGGCAAAGAAACCGTGACCCGGATACGGCCAGAGCTACCGCGGTCGGGGCGCCCGAGCCCTAATTAAAAGCGTCGTGGCCGCCGCTGGTTCCCGGCTGTGCGCCTGGGCTCGCACCCTCAGGCTTTGGGCCGGGCACCACCTCCCCCGCGCGCGATCTGCTCATCTCCGGCTCCACGCCCCCTCCCCAGCCCCTTGGAAAAGAGCAAATCGAGCAGCCGAGCCCACCAGGGACAAGCGACCTACATCGCGCGCAGATACTGGGGCACCGCGAGCGCGCGTGGCCGCCGGGTCTACCTGCTCCGAGAACGCGGCCCAGGCGGCGACGCGCGGGGTGGCGACAGCGGGGGAGACATCGTACCGGGCTCAGGCTGCCCGGATTTCCGAGGCCCTCAGTTCATTCTCTGAGAGTCAATGATGGGTCCCGCGTGCACCTCCGCGTTGGGCTGCTGCTACCGCACACTTCAGGGGTCCCTAAGCGCGTGGCCAAGCACCCCCACCCTCCGCCCGGACCCGGCCTGACCACAGACAACCTCTCGGCCCAAACCCTTGCTGAATAAATGAGATATATTTGAAAGACGTGCCAGGCGTGGTTTTTAAAAGGTTTAACCCAGTGCATGAGGTGTAAGTGAGCGGTATCTTTGCGATGGAGAGGGCGGTTTGTTGTTAAGTAACCAAAAGATGCAAGTTGTTGGGAGTCCTCGCTTAGATTCTTCTTTCAGTGTTTTGCTTCCCTCTCCCTTTTTCTCTGCTTCTGTCTTTCCTCCTCTAGTCTTCCCTCGCAGGCCTCCGCTGGCCGCGGTCCCCCCCACCCCCATTCCATTGGCCAGCGACCTCGGCAGGGGGCGTTACCGTGGGCCTCTGGGGCGCAGAGGTAGGACGCCGCGGGCCCCAGCGCCGCCGCGGCGCTCTTCACGTGCTCGTCCCTCTCGGGCGCGTACACCTGCGGCGGCCGAGAAATGACAGGCGGTTAAGGGGGCGCTTGACCGCGGCTTGGAGCTGCCCAGCCCTCCGCCGCAGCCAGGAGAAAACCTGAAGGGGTGGCGGAGGTCCGCTTGCCCGCGGGACCCCAGCGCCCCGAGAGGCCGTGACGCACGCGGCGCAGCCTGGAGCCCTCGGAGGTCGCATCGCCGTTTGTAGTTTCCCGGTAATTGCGAGCGCCCTTGAGAAAATTACCCGAGACACAAAGCGGTTCCCCAGCCAAGGGCCGCTCAAAGCCCACCCCGCCCTCCTCGCCCGCCTCTTTTTCAGCATCTTCTCTCCCGCCCGCGCCCAGTCCCCGACATAAATGACGCCTTTCGCATCCGGCTAGTAATTCGTGTTTTAATGGACCGAATGGAACTGTACAGGTGTGCCCACCCACTGTCAACTGGCGAACGATTCAGGCTTAGCTGCATACCCCCCACCCGAACCCGCGGCCGCGGCAACCTGAGAGCCCTTCTCCCGCCCCGCACACCGTCTCGACAGCTTCCTGCCAACGAACCCTGAGGTTCCCAGGGCAGGAATTCTGAGACTCGGAAAACTACGAGCCGGGGTGTTGAAAGATTCCGAGGACCCCGTACTGCAGCTTGAGGGAGAGGCCTCTGTCTCCTAGGCTTACTGGCCCATCTTCCCCGGGGCTCTGATGCCCATCCCGGAGGGCGTGCTACCCGCCCGGCCTCGTGAGCGCTTATCTCTGGCTTTTGGTCTCTCTCATCCAGACCCTTTGATTTCTATCTCTGTATGCCTGTCTCTTCCCTTCTCCCGTCAACAAAAACACAGCACACGCAGTTTTCAGGCCTGCTCCTCCCACCCCTACCGTCACCCCCGATCCTCCGAAACCCTCAGTCAGGGGTCCCAGCGAGTTCAGCTCCACAGGGCTCCCGAAGCTGGGCCTACCCAGAGCAGCCGGGGCCTACTGCTTGAACGCCCGCTCAGAACAAAATTTCCGTCCCCCACCCGGCCAGGGCCTGCCCCACAACCCAGAGCTGCCGAGGGGTAAACAAGGAGGCGCCACCAGCGGGGCGGGCTTGGGGCTCACCTTGGCCGGCGCGGGGCCCCCCAGCGGTCCGCAAGCCTCGCGCAGCTCATAGCCGCCGCTTGGCGGGCTCTTCTCCGGTCTCCGCACCATGTCGTCGGCCACCAGGTCCCCAAATGCGGCCCGACTGGCTGGGGGTAGCCCCGGACGGCGCCGGGCACGAGGGCTGCCGCCTTCTGGAGAGTCTGTGGGACCGTCGGTGCCGGACGAGGTGATAGACGGGGGTCCTGCAGTCTGGTCTCCATTCGGGCTGCCTCCGGTGCTGGGTGCGCCGGGCTCGGCCTCATCCGGGGCGCCCTCGTCGTCGGGGAAGCGGTTGGACTCCACGTCCACCTCGGGCTCGTCTGCAGTGTCCACGTCGGGGGAGGCGGAGTGGTAGCTTGAGCTGCCCTCGCTCAGAAAGTCCGGGCTCACGTAGCCGCCGCCGGTCCCTGCGCCCGGCCCCGGCCCACGGGCTGGCCCACCGCCGTAAGCTTCGCGGGTGCTACCGTAGAGCTTGGCGATGCTTTCGGCGTCCTTGACCACAGGCCGGAAGGCCGACACGTAGGAGCCTTTGCGAGCGGGCGGCGCGGGCGGCGGGGCCAGCGGGGCCAGCGGGGGCGGCAGCGCCTCGTCCGCACCGTCCTCGTCCAGTGGCCCGCGGGACAGCGCGCTGGGGCAGCGCTCCTCTGCGACCAGGCCGCCCTCCTTGGCCGGCTCGGTACCGTCCAGGGGCTCGGGGCCGCCACCTCCCGCAGCAGCCGCGGCCGCCGCCGCTGCAGCCGCCACGGCCGCCGCCACGGCTTTGGCTTGGCTCTGCGCGGCCGGATAGGGCGGCACCGGGAGGCTGCCTGCCGCCGGCCAGAACATGGGAAACGTCGGATACACAGTGGCTGCGGCGGCGGCGGCAGCCACGGCCGCCGCGTCCTTGGCTGCGCCGGAGGGCTGGTGACCCCAGAACATGGCGCCGCCGCCCGGGCCAGTCCCCGCCCCGGGGGGCAAATGGCCGGTTCCTGGGCCGCCCGCTCCTGCCCCAGTGCCCGCGCCCCCGCCACTCCCGGGGCCTGGGCCACCCTTGGGTTCTCCTGCGCCTAACACAGGGTCATCCTTTTTGGGGCAGAGACCAAAGGCCGTGGGGAAGCCGTAGGGATGAGGGAAAAGCGGTGGGGGCAGCTTCTGCAAGAGGCCAAAGCCCTTGCTGGGTACTGGGATCACAGGGTAGCTGCGGACCCCGGCGCCGCCACCAGGCCCTCCAGGGCCCGCGGGGCCACCAGCTCCCGCCGCCAGACCAAGTCCCCGCTGCGCGTGAGGAGGCGGCGGCCCGGGAGGCCCGGCGGCCTCTTCCTCGCCACAGCGCAGGCTTTTGTGCGGCGGCGGACCTGGGGCCATGTCTGCGCCGCACCCCGGGCCGCCGCCGCCGCCGCCGCCGCCGCCAGCACCCCCCTTCCCCTGTCCACCCGACCCTCCGTTAGCGCCGCCGCCGCCGCCTCCTTGCAGCGAGAAGGTCCGCTTGCGGGTGCCACCATTGAACATGGCCTTGACGTCCTCCCAAGCGTGGCTCAGTTCGTCCGTGGCCGACTTGTCACTGAGTTTGAGGTGTCGGCGCCACGAGTTGAAGTTGGCTGCGTCGGGCTGCGTGTACTTGGCGTCGGGGGTGCGGTGCGAGTGGAAGATGAACTTGTTCGGCGAGAAGTACATGTTGCAGTAGCCGCACTTGATGCACTTGGCGCGCGAGCTGTTGTAACGCGCGGGGATGAAGCTGCCGCGCGAACCCCAGGCACACTCGTGCACCACATCGAAGGCAAAGTTCTCGGGCAGCTTGGGCGGCTTGTGCTCGCCGAGGAACGACTTGCACAGGCGTTCGGCCTCACGCTTGGTGATCATGCCGCAGCGGCGCGACGAGATAGGCATGGCCCCTGCCCGACGCAGAATTTCCAGCTGCACCGGTGTGCACTGCACGCACGTGATGCCCAGGGCCACGCGGCGGTTGTGGATCTCATTGTAGCTGTAGTTCTTGAGGAGGGTGTTGGAGATTTGCGCCAGGCATAGGCGCTCCTGGCCGTCGATGACCAGGGACACGATAGGCACCCCGTACAACGACGTCTCGCCCACCTGGTTGGGTTTGAGAGCGCTGGAACCCGAATAGGGCTGCAGCTCCTGCTTGGAGTTGGGAGAAGAGTTTCCCTCGCGCCCCGGCCCCAGCTGAGTGGTGAGAGCCTCCATGCCGCCGCTCCTGCGAAACAGAGAAAGCAGAGAGCCGATGAGCCATTTTCAGCGCCAACGCCACTCGGGCCCGCCCAGCAGGGCGCGCAGAGTCCGGCGCGCGGGGAAACTTGGCACCGGGGAGTCCTAGCTCATTCGCCCCCTGGACGGGCCTTTTGTTATTCAGACGCATGCTGGCGCTGGAACAAAAGCCCCCGGGGTTTGGAGGAGGAGTAGGGGTAATTGAGACCTCAGGAATGCCTGGGTAGCTGGGAACCCGATCCGGTTTTCGGGCTGGGGAGGAAGTGGGGCCCAGAGACGGAGAGTGACTTGCCCAAGGCCACACAGCAAAGCCATTGCCAAACCCAGGCTTCCTGGTGCCCAGATCCGTAAGACTTCGGCCACCCTCGCAGCCTGCCCTATCCGTCCGGGTCCCGAAGCTCGGACTTCGGGGACAGGCCGCCCCTCTGCTCAGCCGCGCATGCACGCGGGCGGGGGCAGCGCGGGGAGGAATAGGGAGGGGGAGGGGCGGTCACTGCCCGTCTCCAGACAGCAGGGGGCGGGGCGGGGGGTGGTAAGGAGAAGGAGGAGGGTCTAGAGGCCGTGAGGGAGGCGGAGAGAGACAGAGACGACCGCTGTTCGCGGTGCTGAACCCGACTCTCTCCAAAGCTCGCCGTGAGCGCCCAGCCCTGGAGTTGCCCTCACTGCACCCAGCTTCGTGCAGTTGGCTCCCCGGGATAACAGCACCGCTTTCCCCAAACACAAGCTTTTCCTCTTACACCCGGAACCCCGCGTTCGTTAAGCAGAAAGATTCCGGCTGGAAATATAAACCGTTTTCTTTCCAGCCTTCGGTGGGATGCGGGTCAAGCAATTCCTAACCACATTTCCTGCATTTTTAAGCTGCGGTCCAGACCCAAGCTGGTTTCCCTCCGGGTCAGCACACGGGACGAAGAGGTTCTCAAGGAAGTTTCTCAGAAGCCACTTCTTTGCTTGTAGCCGCCCGCTGCCTAAGTTTTCCTCCTTCAGATATACCTTTCCCACTAAGGCCAAAAGCAGTCTCTAGGTTCTGAGCTTCCTCTTTGGGGGACATCCTTTTTTTTTTGGAGTATCCTTCATGCGTAGTTGTCCTGACTCATAAGGGTTGGGAGGAATCCTGACCCGTCTCTGAAGCCACCCTAAGGCTCCAGGTCAAAAGTTACTTCTGATCCCAAGCTTTACTCTCTGGCCGAGGCAGGGAGGCAATCGCTCTGTGGACAGCGGCAGCAGGAAGGACCCGGGGACTGATGCTTGGGGCCCCCTAGATGGCTCAGCCCAACCACGTGTCCTCAGACACGGAAGGCTCGCACTCGGCCCACGGCTGCAGGCAGTCCTGCGGCCCAGACAGCCCAGTCCTGAGGGTTCCTCCTCTAAACTCAGCAGTAACTGACAAATCCATTTTCAAAGGGCAGCTCCAGCCAGACAGGGCATCTGAGCTCAAAAGCATGGGATCTTCTCTCTCTGTGTCTCTCTCCCTCCTTGATCTGTCGATCTATCTGTCCCTGAGCTGTCTGTCTCTCCCTGCTCACTCCTCTTTCTCCCATCTGTCTTCATACCTTCTTCAAGTTATCAAGCTATTTATCTGTTATCTATTTCATCTTTATCTCCGTGGATCAAACTGAAACTAGTTGACCCTTCTTTTGCGTCGAAGTCCCTTGCAACATTTTAGGAGGCAAAAGCACTGTCCTAACTCCTCGGCTGAGGGATCAGCAAGAAAAGCCCTGCACCCCCTTCCTGAAGGGGCTTCAGGCTGGCTAGGGAGGTGGAAGGGGAGGGTGCCGCGGCTCTGGGAAATGAAGATGTCTTCTCGGTTTCCCGAAATCGGCAAGTGTGCCCTGCCCGCATGCAGTGAAGGGAGAGCCCTGAGCCGAGCGCGTCTTCTCCAAGCGGAGGGTCTGGAGTCCCCTCGGGGTCTTTTCGAGTGGGAGGAGGGGACTCCGGACCCCGGAACCAGGAGAAGGGAGACCCTAGGAACGGAACCGAATTTCAAAAGCCAGGGCAAAGGGCTGTGCGCAGCGACAAGGAGCAGCGGCCAGGGCGGCTCTGGGAGCCCTTGCCGGCTCCTGGGGCTTGAGGGGTGAGATTGGAGAGGGCGATGAGGCGGGAGTCAGGCAGCGCAGAGTGAGGCGATGGAGTCTTGAGGTATAATAATAAAACAACCACAAGAACCCAAATCGGAACTAAACGAAAAAAGCTGTAGAGACACGGCGCGGGGTCAGCCAGCTCCCGGGCGCGAGTACTCACCGTGCGGCGGCGGCTGGAGCCGGGCGAGCGGTGAACGGAGGTGCGCGGCGGGCGGAGCGGCGGGCGGGAGTCGGGGATCCGCCGGGCTCTCCGGGTGACGGCGCGGCCCCTCCCCGCGCGCGCGCACAGCCGCGCTCCCGGGCTCCCCGCTCTCACAGCCGCGGCCCCACTGGCCCCTCCCGCGCGGCGCAGGCTCTCAGCAGGCGCAGGGCTCCAGGGTCCCGGGCAGAGAGATGTGTGCCCTGTGAGGTTGCCCCTGAGGCCCAGGACGGGCCCGGCGCGGAGGCCGAAGCCTGGAGAGCATAGCGCGGCGACTGGCAAGGCGCGGGGACAGCCCGAATGGCGAGGCCAGCGCGGGGCGGGCGCGCCTAACATCTGCGATCCGGGGCGCCACACCCACCGCCCGTGCAGTCACTCGCGCCCTCCCGGGGTCCGATAGCTAGCCCTTGGGCCACGCGCCTGGCCCCGCCGCCTTCCCGCAGCTCCCAGGTCTGGGCGCCCCAGGTAAGCGGCCACACACCTGTTCCCTGAGCCCCGCACCTGCAGCCCAAGCTCGCTAAGGGGGCCGGGAGGAAGGAAGGGCCCGGGGCCACAAAGTTTGCCCCCAAGAGCAAAGTGAGGGAGGGCACAGCTCTCCAGGCTAAGGGGCAAGGAGCTAGACCAAAGGCTAAGGCAGACTCAAGGAAAGGGCTCGAGAATGCATACCGCACTCTCGGGCCAAGAAGGTGACCCTGGGAAGCCGGAGCAGAGATCAGGGTGTGAGGTGCCAGGGGATAGTAAGCCGGAAAGGGGCAGAACCAGCTCGCCCACGCTTCTGACTTGGATGCACTGGTGTTAGGACAGCCTCCTCTCTCCTTCACTGAGCTGTGGACTCGGGAACTGGGTTTAGGGGGGTCCTGGGCCTTTAACCACCACCACGCCCCCCCAGCTAACACCAACCAGCCCAGGGCAGGAGCCAAGTCATCGCTGGGCGATATCTGGGGTCAACTACTAGTTGAAAGCTAGACCCCTCCCTAGGTCTCCTGTTAACTCAGTTTCCCAGTGGTGGGGTCTAGCCCCTGATGCTGCAGACCCTCCCTGGCATCTTCTCTCTTCGAAGAGCTCCATTTCTTTCCACCCCCTCGCTTTTCTGTCGATGTCTGTCTTCACCGTTCTTTCCCCTCCACTAACTCAGGAAGTCCGGTTTTCTCCCTCTCTCTCAATCTCCGTCTTTCCTTATTTGAGTTACCAGTCGCACTCCCTCCCTTTTTGCCCGCACCCGGCCACCCCCTTGCCCCCCACCCCTCTGTGGCATTAAGTGTCCTTAATGGACACGTTAATTAAACTGTAATTAATCATACTGTCCAGTCCAAGTTTGAACAATTACCCTAATCAAACAGAAGTTAATAATGGCAGGCATGGCCCGGGGCGCGGCAGGCTGCCCGCGCAGGGGGCTCAGCGGCCGCGGCAGCTCCTGACGCGGGCAGCAGCGGCGATCGCAGCCAGTCCTTGGAACCCGGGCGGTGCCATAAATCTTCCGCGGCCAGCGGCGCCGGGCCGCCCTCGCCCCCGCCCTCTCGCAATGGGTTTCAGGCCCTCTCCCTTCCTACACTCTGGCTCCTCTAGGGTTCATCTCCCCTTCTCCTGCACTTCTTCCCGGTGCTTTTCTCGTCTCCACGGGCTCGCAGGGGTCTTGGGAAAGGCCTCTGGGGGTGGCAGCGGATCGCCCAGGCCTACCCTCGGAGAGAGGGGCAGCCAGGCCCTGTGACTGGCTTGCCACCCGCTTCTCGCGTGTTTTCCGGGGCTACGAAACTACCCCATCCCAAGCTTGAGGGCTTAGTCTCTGCTGTGGGGTCTCTTCTAGAGGGGTTCTTGCTCTTTCACCTTTATCAGCTCCCGCCTTTCTCTCTCTCTCTCTCTCTCCGGTATTTCCTTGCCTTTCTCTCTTTCCTCCCAGAGCTCAGCCCCCTTTCTCTCTCCGAATCTTGTCCCTCCACTAGCGCTTCTTTCCCAGGCTCTACCTCTGTCCCGCTCTAACTCTGCGGATCTCTACCCCCGCTCCCCCCACCCCTCTTCCCTCCAAGGAAAACAGGAACCTATTTTCTGTCCCAGTCCAAGAGCCGCCCCCCAGACTCCACCTCTCATCCCCCTCCCTAGGCCGGCCTCCTCACCCCATAATTACAATCCCGTTCGGTAATTATTCTTAGCCTCCTAATGATTTTTTAAAAGGCATCTCAGTTTTCGGTGTGATGGTGACAACGATCCTGGAGCCCGGATGCCCTCAGGGTGGTGGGGGTTGGAGTGGAAAGACTATGGGGAGGATCCCCTTGAGCTGGGCCTGTCTCTCTTACGTCTATTGTACTGCGATGGCCAGCAGTGCCTCTGGGGACGGCCTCCAGGGCACTCCTGGCCGCCGGGCCATGCGGTCCCGGGGGACTTCTTAGACAAAAGTTCCCTTTGCGGATGCAGCACGGTGGGGTGCGGGGGAAGGGGATGCAGGTTGACCCCTGCGTCTCCGTTCAGCACCAATCTGCGGACAGCTCCCAGCGCCCTCTCTGACTTCGAAGATCCACCCTGCCCTTCCACCGGGTCTGAAGCAGAGAAAGACTTAAACACGTGTGGGCAGAGGCTGGGGAAGCGGCGCCGTTCGCTTGAGAGATGGTAATCTCCGAGGAGGGGTCTTGGGGTCGGGCCTGGACTCTGCGCTGGATCAGCGTCCAGTTGGTTAGTATCACCGCAGAGCATCTCAGTTGGCAGAGACC